CACACACACACACACACACACACACACACACACACACACACACACACAGAGCACCATTGAGATTGCGAAGTGAAATGCAGTGTTCAGATCAAACGGGAAACAAAAAGAAATGCACTAGGTCAGGCATTAAGAAGGGACAAAGAGATCGAGGGGATCGAGAAGCGAGGGAGGGAGGAGGGAAGAAAGAGGGAAGAAGAAGGAAGGAATCAGGGACGAAGGAGAGGGGGGGAGGTCAGACAGAGATTGAGCAGGAGGAGGTAGGGGTTCGGTCGGATGGAGGTCAAAAGGACAGAGGACATCAGGCGGAGGAAGCAAGGAGGGAGGAAGGTGGGAGGGAGGAGGGAGGGCACTCCAGCCTGGGCATACCGTTGAGTGAAGGTAGTGCGGTGGTCCTACAAACCGTTGAGGCCTCGTGCTGGCCTTTGGTCGGCGCAGGGTCCACTTCGGCATCACTGCGGTGCTGGGCAATCTGACCACATTTCCGAGATTATTGGGGGAGGTTTCGCCTGCGATATGATGGCACATGTTGCTGCCTGCGTCGGTGGTGGAATGTGGCATCAGGCGACTGTGACAACTTGCGTGCGAAGGAGAGATGATGTCAGTTTGACCAGTGGACGTGAGTGAGTAGGGAATATGGCGGAACTGTATTGGAATGTGATCGTACAAGTTGGAACTGTGATTGATTGCTGCTTGGATTTGATTTTGTATAGGATCATCTGTCTTTTGACAGGTCAGTAGACTCATGCATGGAACAGTGGAGTGACTCTTGTCTGCTCCTCTCTGTTTTATTTGTTGTATGCATGTTCATGCAGGTATACTTGATTATGTGCGTATAGATTCTATAGAACCATTGACAGCATGGAGCTTGTGCTGTAGGAGCGAGGAGGTGAAATGTTCTGTGCTGTGATCATGGTTGTGTGGCAAAAGGACTATACTGAAACGGTGTCGTCTGTCCAGATATTGGTCTTTTGGAACTTCGTTATGGTAGAAATGCCCTGAAAAGACTTAGGGGCGAGCATCAACAGTCAAGCATGTTGTTTGATTGAATGAATTCTTTAGGCTTTCCTTATCAGATTGAATAGCGCTTCGAGTTGGATGTCCTAGTAGGGATGACGAGTAAAGGGGTTATGCAAAACTTCCAAGACCTTGGTGTTCAAGGTTCTCTAGATGTTATGGGTGGAGGTCAGCCCGCACTGAAGGGGGGAGGGGAGGAAGTGTTGCTTCAGCACGATGGCTCTGGTGTTATGGGTGGAGGTCAGCCCGCACTGAAGACGATCTCCTCTTACACATTAGACTGACTGCACCACTAGGCGTCATCTCTCCACGGCGGAGTAGGGCAGGGGGAGCACCATGTGGGTACGTAAATCCGCATCAGGCCTGATAGGTAGGGCCGAACGTGCAGTTAGAATCCGTATGCCAAGATCATTTGGTACCATGTCTGTACCACATGAAACTTGAAAAGGTGAACGCTCAAAAAGGGAGAGCGGCTCAGAGTGCACATCCGTGCAACACTATGAGGTAGAGAAAAGGACTAGGAGCCAAACTTCCAAAGGGGTTAGATGCCCTAATTGACTGCTCGCCTCTAAGGCGTGGGAGATCAGCACCCTGTGACCTTGGTTACGAGCAGGTTTGTGAAGTCGTCGTCCGCTGCATATACTACATTGACGAACAAGCAAACAGCCTCGGCCAATGACCTCTACCGCAGCAGGTAAAAGCTGCCGTCCGTGCACTGCTGGCTCAGTGGGATATGCCCCCAAGGGTGGTGACAGCCCCTCGGGTTGGGGTAGCTTGCCCTGTTGGCCCTATCCTGTCATAGGGCTACCTAGGCGGATGTAAGATGGCGCAACCGGTCGGAGTGGCAAACTGTTTAAGTGCAATCGGCACTCTCGTACTCCTGTATGTTCGGGAGGGATCCCTGTGAGGATGGCACCGATGCGCTCGACAACGCTGTCAGGTAGTAACTCACGACACAACTTCAGGAAAGGTTACGTGTCCAACAAATAACGAAAGTTGAAGAGGCCCAAATTTTCATTTTCACATGCTCAAGGTCAACATAGGACTACCAACAACCAGGGACAGGGAAGTATTTGGTGCACAGCTCACCATCTGCAGCTAGAAAGCTTTGGTGTTATGGATAGACTGGTAGCTGGGTAGTCGGGTAGATGGGTAGATGGGTGGCTGGGTAGGTGGTTAGATGGGTAGATGGGTAGCTGGGTAGATGGGTTGATTTATGCAATGGCAATCTTGCTTATGGCCAGGCCTCACCAACACGCTTGCATCTTCATTGCTCATCATACTAACCTTTAGCAGTGCCTAAGCCTTTGAGACCAAAACAATCGGCAGCTCTTGAACATTTTGATGGGAGAACGCTACGAGTCCATTTTCCCCAATAGAATCACGGTTGTCATCTGGGAACCCACTGGGGGGCAGGATGTCCACCCCAGGACGGCCAGTGCTCGGTGGTCCATGGGTGAGCCACCCCCAGCCAGAGGTGGGGCAGGAGGGCAAGGGGTGTCAAGAAAAATACCTCCCCAGCCTCCCATGCCCACATATTCATATAGTCGTGCAACGCTTTAGGTAAAGATGCGGGCAGGGGTGAGAACAAAAAAGGAAACCCATCCCCAAGCCCACTCCCAACCCAACCTCATGGGTGGGGGCTGGAGCCTGCGATGTGGAGGGGGATGGCAGGCCAGGGCCTGGGGTTAGAGGCCGGAGACGAGGGAAAGGGTCTGCGGGAGGTGTAGATGTGGTTGAGGGTGGTGGGTTCAATGGTTGAGGGAGGGATGGCACCTGTGGGGACCGACCTCCTTCCCCCTCGTATTACAGCCCTGTGCCCAGACACCCCCGATCCTCGACTGCATGCCGGGAAGGGACGGAAGGGTGCCATGGGTGAGACTCCCCAACCCTGAAGACTGCAAAAACTGCAGAGGGTGCACCTTGGTGATGTACACTCTCTGTGTTTCTTTTCCTTCTTGAAATATCTTTCCTTTTTTGTCAAAATGACCATCAGGTTTGGAGCCCCACCCAAGGCCTTTGCAAACCCTGCCTGCTATCTGGGGCCAAGGTCGACAACCCCCAATTGAAATGCATGGGCATCACTACCGTCTTCACCCCGAATAGAACCCCCGGTCATTATAGCTGTATCTGGACTGAAAGATTACCCCCAAATACCGCTATAATGACCGGGCGTTCTATTCGGGTGAGGATGGCCGTGTCACGTCCGCAGTAGCTGCATCCGTTATGGAGGCATCATGCTTGTGCTTTTCTCAAGAGAGGATGGCAAACTGTTATTGCGCAAGACTTGGGCGAAACTCGTCTATAGATATGTTTCGACGATCTTATCTCAATACTGTCTGAGCCTTGAAGGCTGGCACACACAAACGATTGAAGCTCACCTCTTCTGGATACTGCAGACTCCACTGCAGTTCTTAAGATTGGTTTAGAGGAAGAAGAAGCTGAACCTCCAAGACGAAAAGAAGGAAGCCAAAATGGACATGTGCCGTTGAGATCCGCCTTAGAGGAAGAAGATGAAGCTTTTTCAGGAGAAAAGGAGTCTTACCAGATGTAGGGTCCCAACCCCTGGCTTTGAGTTCACTATGTTCTTGGCAATACGCACAGCAACCGCAAAAGCAATGGACAAGAAAATCATTGCAAGGCTCCGGCTGCCAAATGACAGACATATGGAAACATTACATCATGTGTCAGGCGTTAAGTCCCCTTTGAAAGAATATGAATGGCATCTAATCCACTCACGGAGAAAAGAGTAGGGATAATAAAGTCGTTTGACTGATTCAAGTACTGCAGCATATCAGCCAAACCAGTTCATCTGATGCCAATTCAAAGAAGGCGCTGGAAGGGATTTGTTGTGAGGGGACTGCCTCCCCTTGGTGGGGTCGGTGAGACCATGGGTGCTGCTCTTGATCCACACACCATGCCCATCACTGAAATCCAGACTGACTGCATCTGATCACCAGCAATAGACACCAGAAAAAAAAAGGCATTTTACTATTTTCACTTCCGATTTCTCTCTCTCTCTCTCTCTCTCTCTCTCTCTCTCTCTCTCTCTCTCTCTCTCTCTCTCTCTCTCT